ACATTCATTTTTCAACGAAATTGTCCCTTTAATAGCACATCTGTCCAGTAATCGATTGGGAATGCGTTCTAGGGCCCTTAAGACATCTTTCTAGCAACTTTCAAGAAATTTCATTTTTTGGCCAAGATTTAACAAAATGCAAGGGGTTAGCCTTACATTTTTTGTCAAAATCGGCCAAAAATTGACTTTTCTCAAAACACTGCAGAAATTCATCTGGATGCAAGAGGAACATGAATCAATACTCTGACACGCATAATTTTGAAGGATTGGGCAAAAATCAGCAATTTTTGGAGAAAAAAAAGTTAATTTTTGAGCGATTTTACCTTCATTTTTCGACGAAATTTTCCCCTCAAAAGCACATCTGTCCAGTAATCGATCGGAAATGCGTTCTGCGGCCCTTAAGACATCTTTCTAGCAACTTTCAAGAAATTTCTTTTTTTTGCCAAAATTGAAAAAAATGCAAGGGGTTAGCCTTACATTTTTAGTCAAAATCGGCCAAAAATTGATTTTTCTCAAAACACTGCAGAAATTCATCTGGGTTCAAGAGGAACATGAATCAATACTCTTACACGCATAATTTTGAAGGATTGGGCAAAAATCAGCAATTTTTGGAGGAAAAAAGTTAATTTTTGAGCGATTTTACCTTCATTTTTGGACGAAATTTTCCCTTTAATAGCACATCTGTCCAGTAATCGATTGGGAATGCGTTCTAGGGCCCTTAAGACATCTTTCTAGCAACTTTCAAGAAATTTCATTTTTTGGCCAAAATTGAAAAAAATGCAAGGTTAGCCTTACATTTTTTGTCAAAATCGGCCAAAAATTGACTTTTCTCAAAACGAGGCAGAAATTCATATGGATGCAAGAGGAACATGAATCAATACTCTGACACGCATAATTTTGAAGGATTGGGCAAAAATCAGCAATTTTTGGAGAAAAAAAGTTAATTTTTGAGCGATTTTACCTTCATTTTTCGACGAAATTTTCCCTTTAATAGCACATCTGTCCAGTAATCGATTGGGAATGCGTTCTAGGGCCCTTAAGACATCTTTCTAGCAACTTTCAAGAAATTTCATTTTTTGGCCAAAATTGAACAAAATGCAAGGGGTTAGCCTTACATTTTTAGTCAAAATCGGCCAAAAATTGACTTTTCTCAAAACACTGCAGAAATTCATCTGGATGCAAGAGGAACATGATTCAATACTCTTACACGCATAATTTTGAAGGATTGGCAGCCGTACAAGCGTTAATATTATATACCGCTAGGGGCGACAATTATTGGTCGCCCGTAGTGAAGTTCCTCTAGGGGCGGCCGTTATTGATCGCCCCCAGAGGTACATACCGCTACGGGCGACCGTTGTTGAGCGCCCCCAGCGGTACGTACCCCTAGGGGCGACAATCATTGGTCGCCCGTAGCGAAGTTTCCTCTAGGGGCGACCGTTATTGGTCGCCCCCAGCGGTATACAGAAACGCGCATACCTCTAGGGGCGACAATTATTGGTCGCCCCCAGCGGAAGTTCCTCTACGGGCGACAGTTATTGATCGCCCCCAGAGGTACATACCGCTACGGGCGACCGTTGCTGAGCGCCCCCAGCGGTACGTACCTCTAGGGGCGGCAATATTGGTCGCCCCCAGCGGAAGTTCCTCTACGGGCGACCGTTACTGATCGCCCCCAGAGGTATAGTCTGGTTCCCAGACCAAAAGATATTCTGACTATTCCCGATGAATCAGGTAGCCTCCGATACTACATTGTATTACAATTTACGTCACGTGACTAAAACGGGAGGAATTTCTCTTTTTCCGAAAATTTCCGAAGTTTGCCGAATTCGTTTCATCGACAATCGGACGGCACCCGAGTATTTTCGAGTATAATATAGCTTTAATTAACTGCTAATTGCTTATTAATTTTTGTTTAAATGAGTTGATAATTAATATTCATTGCCTTCATTTAGAAAACTTAAATTCAACGACGTTGAATTTTGTGCCTCAAATATTCTCGGATATATGGGCGAACTTTTTGCTGCGTCATGTACAATTTTAAATTACACGACTGTTATCCGAGATTTTCCAAAACTCGGTCTTCATTCGGCTCCGCCTGCTAACAGTGCTATTCGGGTGCCTAATTTTGAAGATTCCAGATCAAAATTCGTCAATGTTATCTTACAGAAACATTAAACTGTATTATCATAACTGTATGATATTACGAAGCAAGTGACTTATTAAAACGTTTGATCAGAACATTAAAAGCTAAAAGTGATAAGGCGCATTCGGAAACGAAGCTGGGCTTCATCAGGAATAGTCAGAATCTTTTGGTCTGGGAACCAGACTACGGCTTGTGGTGTAGCAAAGTAAAGGGTATTAATCATGTACATGTAGTTGCAATGTTGCAATTTGGTAAATGATGGAGCCAAAATCAGGGGTTTTTTTTACATCAATTTATTTTTTGTCTTGAAATCAAAAGTAATTTGAAGATATGCACCATATAATTATTTTAATAAACAATGGAAAATCAAACACCGACTTCAATATGACACGAATAATAGCATTTAAGTAACACACAATTAAAGTAATAATAGTTTTTAATGCAGTATACAAATCCTTAATTGCAAATTCCGGGTTTTAAATCGGAAGCATCTTACACAAATATAAAAAAACACATTAAAATAAAAAATATAAAATACAGCACTTAAAAAATAAAAGCAAATAAAATATTTTTCATGGAAACATATTTTGGACCCTGACGTACATGTACCATCCTTACATGTAAATATGACTGAAAAGATATTTTGGCACCAACAAAAAGAAAATCACAATAAAAAGAGTTAAAAATTAAAAAAAAAAAAATCCTCCCTGTCTGGCTGTCAAATTCAACACAGCTATCCCAACAGTCAAAATCAATCAAGTGACTGTTTTTTAACAGTTAAGAGCTCACAGCCTACATAAAAAGGGGGCCAATTTCATAGAGCTGCTTAAGCACAAATTTTGCTTAAGCACAAAAAAACTTGCTTAATGTAATCAGGTAACCGGCCCAAACTCCATTCGATGTACATTGCTTGTGACTGGTATTTAGCTGTTGTTTACTTTAATAGCATAACAATCGCATGGAGTTTGGGCTGGTAAATTGATTATATTAAGTAGAGGTTTTTTGTGCTTAAGCAAATTTTGTGCTTAAGCAGCTCTATGAAATTGGCCCCCTGCAGGATTGATTGGCTGTGACTGTTTATGTAACTTGATACCGCTATGCTTTAACTGTAGGTAATTGATAAACCAGTTACTTGCAGGAGGGTTAATAAACAATACAGAAATAATTCTCACAAACATACCGCATGTTTCGATACATCCGCTTTTAAAGAAAGCATGCATCTGCTAACTCGATAATAAAAATATTTACACACGTTCTAATTATCTAACAATGATTATAGAATTCACAAATGGTTTACATCTTTTTTTTTAAAATTAATCGAGTAATCATGTAAATTCTACTGTAAGTTGTTAGCCCTATACTACAAACTGAAGAAAAATACAACAGTCACCATAAATGTTTGTGTTGGGGGCAAATTGGTAGCCACTGGTATGTAAAAAAAGTTGACATATTGTTAAAAAAAATGCTATACAATGACCACTTTTCCCTACAGCTGCCTGTTTTCAATGGCCACTGTCCATTGTGGCCATTAAGTGTTGTGGCCATTTGACCGTTACGGCTACCTGTCCGTGGTGGCCAATGTACGCTCTGGCTCTATTTCGTGGCCACTTTTTCCTTACAGCTGCCTTTCCTTAATGGCCACTGTCCATTTTGGGCTCACAATTTGTTCTGGCTGTTTCAACAAGTTTTCAGTATTTTCTTGTTCATTTTACTTGCTGAATAAAACCTCTGAAGCTCCTAAATAAGATTTAATGTTAATATCCAAAATACGTTGTTAGTAAAGTTACAAAAAAATATCAGCACCCTCGACTCTCTTTTACAAACCCAGCTGGACATAGCCCAAATGTTTGTTCTATACGAATTTTTGTAGAGAGGAGCATTGATTCCGTTCACTGTACACATATATTTACTATAACCAGAATTTGTATTAACAATTTGTTTTGCCGAGAGTAGGCTGTAATTTTTATATTGGACAAATCTTTCCGGGGAAAGATCTAGGCAAGGTGGGGGGGGGGGGGCAAATCCACGAGAATGTAAAAATTTGATCCACTTGATTTCTGGGTTCTCTTACAAGTAAACTAATGGCAAGAACTTTTACATTTCATTAAGAGTATAAAAAAAGGGCAATACAAGGTGTGGTGTTTTGTGTTACGGCAATATAAATCAAGGTGGAACATAATTTGCATATTCAAAATTCAGCGAGACAAAATATATGACTTTCAATAAAAAACAAATATTACAAGGTTGGAAGAAGTGAAAAACTATGGCACTACATGTGTGTAACACTTGATTCAAAACGATATACAATACTGTGTACAAATTGTTCTTTAGTGTCAATGTGTCAACTCAGCATGGAATGTTAATGTTGACAAAAGTGCAAGTTCCTGTTAAAACTTACCACTACTTCAAAAAGGGACAACAAAATCTGTCCCCTAGAACTAAGTTCTAGCAAAGACTATAGTAGTAAAGTCTGTCCCGAGCCAATGTGGCTCATCAGGCCGGCGTTTATCTCCGGTTTCAGTAGCATGAAACGACTGAGAATATTTCTACTCCCCCTGGATGGGATGCTAGTCCATCGCAGGTTTCTCCCCAGCTAATGCCGGTACCCATTTATACTCCTGGGCGGAGAGGGGCAAGTGGGGGTGAAGTGCCTTGCCCAAGGACACAATATATGACCTGGATTCGAACCCCGGACCCTCTGATCATGAGTCACGAACCCTAACCACTAGGCCACACACTCCCCTTAAAGACTATGGTTCGCCATAATTTCGGACCACCTTCACTCAAACGCTAGATGGTTGGACTATAACTACGCTACTTGACAACACTGTATTTGGAACTGGATCCTAGGGCATGTATAATTTTTTTTGCAGCATACATCGTATTTTAAGCTATCACGTAACGCACCTTAACATGAATATTTATCACTCTTTGTGGATGGAAGACACTCAGGTTCTTGTAGTGTTTTCCCTTCAATTAAAATTAGCCCAACCAACACAAATATTTGATGGAAATGGACATGGGTTCGAACCTCGAACCACAGATCTTCCGATCCATAGTTCATTCCACTATCCACTAGGCCACTGTGGCAGCTCGACAAAAGCTGTACTTTGAAATGCTTTAATGTACATGCATGACTGACTGATAGCAATGGTGTGACGTCATTGTTATTTTCTCATGAATAAACATCGAAACTAGCTGAATAATCATAATCCATTGACGATGTATGCTGCAAATAAAAACACCTTTCCTAGGGCATGCCTCCATTACATTACAATGCACAGCAGGGAGCCAGGATAATAAAGTTTCACGATAACGTCTGATGGGTGAACCCTCCAAACGACAAATATTTTACTTTGATTTATGTTCTATAATTACATTTCTTGGTTAAAACAATACAAAAAATATACATTTTACGTGGTTACAATTTACAAAACCCTACAAAACCAATAAGAGTCGAACTGTTGATGCCCGGACCAGGGACGACAGATTCTAGTCACAATACTTCAACGAACATGGGCCAAAAACAAAATAATGTTGTGTTTCCAGTAACATTGCCATAAATTTAGGAAGGGTCAGTAGGTGGGGTATTTTGTTCAACTGTTGTACATACATGTATGTACGCATGTACACAATACATGAACATATTTGAGGTCAACTGCACAGGAGGTACACATGTGCATACTTGCACGAATATACTTCATTACATACTTACAAGTATTTCAGACTTGTATTTGGGGTATTTTTTTCGCTTCCAAAACAAACCTACATGTACATATTGTACATGAATAAAAAAAAAAATTAAATTTAAATTACCAAATTCTATTAAAAAAAAATTGATTCACCTCCTGACTCTATGTTTGGTACCCGGAAACACAACATGATGACTTTTATACACATGGGGGTGCCCCAAAATCTCACCACCATGTACCGATCTCAAGATCCCGAACTATACCACGCAGACAAGAAATACTGATACGATGGCACAGTATTAAAGCCCTATGCATGGGTGCAAGTGATAAATGTATGTTAAAATCCCAATGTACATAATTCGGTTGAATTTGCGCATGTGAGAACAACACTTCAGCACTGTCTACAGGTTTTTATATTTCGATGAGAACAAGAGTACAGGAACCAACTTTGGTGAGTTTGATGGTGAGTGAATTTCAACAGCCCCTGTCCAGATCTAGACTTTGAAAGCCGCCTGCTTGGCCTTAAACTCCTCCCTCCTCTTTTTCCGCTCTTCCTCTTCTTGTTTCTTTTCTTCTTGCTCCTGCCGGATCTCCTCCTCAAACTTCTTGAGTTGCGTCTGCTCGTTGATCTGTGGAAGGTAAACCATCAAATATCAATCATAATGTGGTGCTTATATAGCATTTTATACCAAAGGTCTCAAGCGCTTCAAACTTTTTACCCCTGTTCATCAGGCGTTGAGACCAGTCTTCTGCAGCAGCTCGAGATCGGCGCATTCTGGTCTCTACCTTCACAGGTACCCATTTATACTCCTGGATGGAGAGAGGCGATTGTAGTAAAGTGTCTTGCCCAAGAACACAAGCACCATGTTCCCCATCAGGGTTCGAACCCACGTACCATATGGCGCATGAGTTCAACACCTTTAACCATTGGATTAAGACGATCCAAAAAAAAAAGCAACAATAATGGATAAACAAAGCCCGAGATACTGTGATTTCATTGGTTAATACGAGTGAGTTGACAGTATCTGCCCACCGTCAGAAGACCGTCATTTAATAGAATTCGGTTTCAGACAGTCAAACTAAACTTTGGTGGCCTTCTGAATGACTACAACAATAGATCATTTGATGACTTGAGATTGTAGTCACGCCTGTTTCAAGCATCAAACTCAATTCAAATCAAGGAATCTTTTGGTTCAATACAGCTTCTTGGAAGAAGAGTTTGTTTGCTTCATACTCATTTCACATGTCGCACAATAAACCTCTGTGCTTATGACGTCACACTTTGTTTACATGTGCACTTTCCTATGGAGCCAGTGCGGGCCCACGGTCCACTGAGCACCATAGGAAAGCACACACTTAAACAAAGTGTGACGTCATCAGTACAGAGGCTTATTACAGAACTTTTTTTTATGATGGGCAAGTTGCCCCTTCCATTTGTGCAAAATTTTGTTTTAAAAATCTTTGTGTTCTTTTTTTTTCAAATCGTAATTTCACAGATTGTTGGAGAACAGAACTCACACATAACCTTTCAGTGATTGCTTTGTCCAACATAATTTAAATATTAATATTGCAAATAAAACTGGTATGATAAGGATTCCTACAAAAATATAATTACATATTCTGAGTTCTTTGATAAGTGGTGTTTTTTTATGCACCACACTTTGATGATTAACTTTGTACTAAATCCAGTTTTCTATTTATAAACATCTTAATCATGTCGTGGAAACTGTGGAAGAGTGGTGGAAGTTATTCATAGCCTACAAAGGTCAGAGGTCAGCTGAGGAACAGACTTGCCAGGAAGTCTTGTTCTACATTTGCGCTGGATTAGACTTGATTCAAGTCTGAAGTCAGGAGTATCATTATTTGAAGGCCTGCGGCAAACTGCCATTTTGCATTGGACTTAGAAGTTGACTGGAGAAGAGTTCACTCGAATGAGTGGCTTTGTGATGAACAAAAAAGATTTTTTTTTTTTGCTGCAGCCGCAGTAGCACTGCACCACGCTTTGCTCCACCACTTCCTCAACCAGGTGGAGAAAAGACTCAGCCTGGTATCAAGTCTACGCTTCCTCACCCATCACTCAACCCTAGGAAACAGTGGGGCAGTATGAGCACAGGAAGGTGAGCTACTAAGGACAAGGCCTTAGGCCAAAAAAAAAAATTCTGCTTCTGATTACATGGCATTCAGAAATAGGGTAGGTAGGTAGGGATTTTTTTTTTTTTTTGGCCAATTTTTTTGTGTACGATCATATGGAGGCGTCTACGTGTAGTCAAAGGTAGGAATTGATGGTTTTGGGGTTTTTTTTCTCATTTTTCCCATTAAAAAAATTAGGGTAGCTGTCAGAATAGGGTAGGTAGGGAAACCGGAAGCAGAACTATTTTTCTGTTTGGCCTGAAGGGTAGGTGGGAGTCTTAGTATGGGGATCAGTGGAATAAAGGTCAGAGAGACTCAAGCAAAAAAATCTTTGGCATTACAAGATGCATATATCCAGTTGGTTTAAGGGAAAGGGTCGCAAGACATTCATCAAGAGCTATGCAGGACTAAATGTTGACTATTATTGAGGGGACTTGAGGGTTCGAACCCACGCACCATCGTGCATGAGTCAAACACCGTAACCACTGGACCATGGCGTTCAAGCGGTCTGTTCATTGAAAAAAAAAAGAGGGGCCATTAAAGCATTATGAAAGGGAATGTTATTTCCGTGACAAGAGTCAGTTAACCACGATATTTAACCCTAACCAGGGTTCTCCCCAGGATTTTTTCAAACCTGTGGGGAAGTTTTGTTGTGATTCACCAACCTGCGAAGCCACGGCGTGGGGTTCGGGGCCCGCTTAAGGGCCCCGAAATATTTCGAACTTTAGAGGCTCTCTGGTGCATTTTAGAGCAAATCTGGGGAGTCTTTTAGGAAGATTTTTCCTTAAAATTTAGTGGAGATCTTGTGATATTTTTTGTAATTAGAGAAAAAAAATACCAACATTTTTAACTTAAGAAAAAATCAACATTTCAAAACCTGTGTTAAAACTTCTTGAGCTAGAAAGTATGGATTATATTTACAAGCAAGTTTCAAATTAAGAAATTAAGGTGAAGAAAAAAATCACTTTTGCTTCCGACTACATGCCTTTCAAAATAGCGTCGGTAGGTCGAAAAAATTATTTCGCCAATTTTTTGGGCTGCTGATTGAATCATGGAGGAATAAAAACACATGATTGAATGGAGCATATTGAACAAGGAATCATGTAGTTTTGTGCCTGGATTATTTTCCTTTGCACCACCATGACCACGAAAATTATCTAGACTGATCATCAGAAGTGATTAAAACTTGCCTCACCTAATTAAAAATATATTTGAGGAGGTTGATTCCACTATATGCTTAACGTACATGTTGTACATCACGGCCCCTGGCGCCATCATTCAGTCTGGCCGGCCGTAAATCGCGCCGTGCACACACGGCGCAGTATCAGTGTGCATTACTGCACTGTGTACGGCCCATCCCATGTGGCCGAAAATTTTGCACTACTGCTCCTAAGAAGCACGCTACGATGTTTCGCCACAAGTTCGAGCTTTGCAATCTCGTCATTTTAATGGAAAATACATACACAGAAAATAAAGATCACGTTCTGTGAATTAATTTGCAGAAATTCTCTTTCTCCATCGATGTTTGTTTGGTGTTTTTACGATCCAACTTCGGCCGACATCATCATCATGCATGCACGCACGAGGCAGTAGTCACTGGTTCCGGTCCTTCATCATAGCATTGATACTGTTAGCATGCGAAGGGAACCAGTGTACCGTGTTGTATGCGCTAATATATAGCTGGCGGTCGACGCGAAAGACCCGTCATCGTGTGCATTTTGATCACACATGCATCAGAAATACGGGATTTTTGTCAAGATTTTGCATGTCAAGATGAAATAATGGCATATGAAACGATTATGTTGTGCATTTTAATGGCTTGTATAATAATTATATTGTGCGTATCGGGGGCTGAAAAATGTGATCGGCATTTTTGTCGGCGTATCGGGCCGCAAATTCAGCGTATCGGGCCGATACGCACATTTGTACGTGGGGAGAACCCTACTAACCATCCTAAATCCTCCAAAATCCAAATGCAAGAATTTACAGGATTGAGGTTAGTAACATGGCAAAAGTGTGCTGCTGATTTCGGAGGACGCGCTGTGTCAAGGTCTTGGGCCGGACCTTGTGTTGTTTATGCTCAGCCATGCATAAATTTAGTCCTTGATTATACTTGAAATCCTCTGCATCAAATAAAAAAAGGTGAAAATGGAAGTATAAAATTCACTGTTTCTGCACTTCCTTTTAGGTGGACCCACCTTGGCTTCAAAGAAGTTCTTAGCTCCGCCCACCCCCTCCTTGTCCACGTCGATCTCAGTTAGTCTGGCCAACGCGCTCAGCCCGCTGTCCGAGTCCAGCTCCCCTGCTGCTGCCTTGCGGAAAATCAGCAAAAACTGAGGGCGGGGGAAAAACCAACAAGGGAACACATTAGTGACATCAACATTATTATTATTATTACTACTACTTATCTATGGTAATGAAACCGAGGATTCCTTAACCCTAACCCACCTCACTCCTCCAAAATCCTCCTGGCGGTTTTGGAGGATTCTAGAGGATTGAGGATGAATGGTGATTGAATCAAATGAGGATTCTGGAGGATTGAGGATGAATGGTGATTGAAGCACATGAGGATTTTGGAGGATTGAGGATGAATGGTGAATGAAGCACAAGAGGATTTTGGAGGATTGAGGATGAATGCATTTTGAGGCAGGACTGTCTGATGATTTTGAAGGATTTGGCCTTGGTTATCCTTCATTTAAACACGAGTGCAAAGTTTTGGGATGAGGAGGATTTTGGAGGATTGAGGATGAATGCATTTTGAGGCAGGACTGTCTGACAATTTTGAAAAATTTAGGCGGAGTTGAAAAATTTTGGAGGATTTTGGAGGATTGAGGATGGTTGTAAGCAACAAGGGCCTAGGGGGTTAGGGTTAAAAGCGCACTAGGCACTGTAGCTCGCAAGCCCGAAGAAAACCTGCAGAGAGAAGACAATGAGGAAAAAAATGCAGTTTTAGAGGTGGGAGGAAAACCCCAGAAGAATAGTCTGGGGAAAACCCATGGAATCAGGTAGGGACTGAAAACCCAATCCACATGTGGACCAAGGCAGGAATCAAACCCGGCGGAAGGCGAGGAAAGAACCGCTGCGGCAATCAAAGTGACATTATTATGGCCCAGATCAAAATTACTTAAAACATTTTTTTTAGGGGGGGGGAGGGGGATAATATCTTCTTGGTAATAAAACCAAGGATTCCTCAGAAGTGCAGAGACACTGCAGCTAAAAAGCCTAAAAAATCCAGAAGACGACGACGAAGAAAATCTTCATTTTCAGTAATGGGAGGGAATCCCTGACATTCCCAAAAATGACACCCCCCCCCCCCCTCCAATAAAAACCCATAGAACCAAGCAGGGACTGAATCCAATCATCACCTAGGAAGGAATCGGACCTGGGTCACAGCGTGAAAGCTGATGAAAAGGTCACCATTCCAACCCGACTAATTTTGAAATGAAATGTAAAAATGCAAAACCGACCTCCCGAAATGATATCCTGCCGTCGTGGTCCTCGTCTACTTCCTTGATCATGTCCTTGAGGGCGCAATGCGTCTGTGGGGCTCCGAGTTTCTCCATCATGAACTTCAGTTCCATCAGCTCGATGAAATGGTTCTTGTCCGTATCGTAACTGCAACAAGACAACAAAATGGTTGTAGAATGAAAAGACTTGTGGTTAAACATTCACACGCCAATGGGTTAAATTGAAAGCAACTTAGCGGACTCCGCGATGGTAGATGGTAATTCATGACCTGTTTGGGATGAACACAGAGGGAGGGACACAAAACGTGCCTTGACTGGTTTGTGTGACTGTGGACAAATGGTTGCGTCTTCGCACGATCATGGTAATGCGCTCGAATGTCCCCTCGAAAGGTCTCCCCCAACTTGCTCTTTGTAACCAGGAGGGAGGGGGAGGGAGGGGGTACTCGTGTTGATAGCGGAGTCCATAGTAAACCAAGCCCTCTCGTGTTCTTTCAGTGTACAAATGTATGTACAAATGTATGTAAAAACTCATACTGTATGTACGTAGCAGTGTTTAAAACTTGAAATCAAATAATCACTTATTTGTAAACAAAATGAAAGTATCAGATATTGGTATCAGAATAATTGCATAAAGCAGCCAATTTTTTGGGATCAATCCCATTAAAAAAATCGTGCAGCTTTTTTTTTATTTTGTACAACAAAAACAACAGGCCGAGTAAAAAAAATAAGTACTTTCTCATCCGGCCTTGAAAATATTTCTTGTCTATTTTTCCCCAAGATACCCGGTAGTAGATTTTCCCAGATGTCGGATTGAATCTTCCATTTTTTTACTATTTTGCCGATACAAAATTGTGTCCTAAGGAGCCATAACCCTTTCTGCATACATGTAGAGCAAATTTGTTGGAAACAAATGAAAAGATAAAATTGGACAATTATGTGTCCACAATATATTGAAAATGTATGATAAAAAAAAAAAAGATGCTGGCCAGGAAAAATTGAAGCAGGTGGGGATGAGAAACTGGTTTATTTTTTACTTGGCCTAATGGTTCAGCTCCATAAAAAATCACAATGATTGTTCTTATTTGCACTTTTACGTGCCCATATGAAAGAAAAAGCTTCCAGGTGCAAGACAATCCGACAGCAAAATCCCAACTGATTTATGACTCACTTTCCATTGATCTAAATGTAGACGTTGACCCAACGAGAATCTTGTCTTAATATGAAACTGCCTGTCCTCATTATAAGCAGCATCGATAAAAATGGGCAATTTATGCCTGAAAAACTGCCTAATAGAAAATCTATGGAAGACTGCATATAAACTGCATTAGATTATTGGCAATGGACATTTCTACTGCCCCATGACTGGTTTATGTGAACAATAGCTAGCACAATGCTTTTGCCATTGAAGGGGGCCTCTGTGACAGAACTGACAGCGTGCCCAGATTGTTCTGCAAATATACATGTTGTTTTGCAAGTATCCGAGTACCTACATGTTTAAGCCTAACACAAAAAAATTTGGAAAATTCTTAACCCTTTTAGTCCCTCATTTTTGCTAGAATGCAACCTCAATCCTGCAAAATCCTCCAATTGGGACCATGTAAAAATAAAATTATGCATGGCTGAGCATGAACAACACAAGGTCTGGCCCACGGCCTTGACACAGTGCATCTTCCAAAATTAGCCACACACTGTTGCTAAACCTCAATCCTGCAAAATCCTCCATCTTACACAAAGAGGATTTTGGAGGATTTGGGAAGGTTAGAGTAAATAAATCTGTCAAGTAGGCCTACATGTATGTACTACTAAACTGAATGTAAAAGTAGATTTGGCAGTAGACATGGTACCCGTAGATATCCAACATTTGCTTGGGGTCAGTCGGGGATTAAATCTTGTATAATTAAAGTCACTGACCATCTCCGATGAATGAGTCATCCATTAGTTACTGTGCCTGCTGGGCAATATCCACTCTTAAAGGGGCAGTTTAAGCATACCTTAAAGCAGTGACACCACAAGAAATGGTGCAATTTACGGCAAAACTTATGCTTTAAATTAAAGAATTTTGGGCAAAATTAATTTAAAGCCAAACAAAAACAAATTAATACAAACGCTGCTGCATCTCTTTTTTTAATCTGAATTATTTACAATAACACTGATTTTTTTTTTAATTATCTGAATTATTTAGTTACACTCCTTTTTGCACACTTTCCTTTTAAATTGGTTTATGTGTATGTATGACACCACCCTTTTTGTCTTATTCCAAATTTCGGGGAGTGTAGACACTTTTGCCACCACTCTTTTTAATAAAAAGAATGTTGGTGTCCAGCTAGCACCACATTTCTCTGGTATGCTTCACCAGACTCAGTCCAGACAGATTCGTCATCAGCAAAAGCTTCCTAGCCAATCTTAATCTTATCTCTGGACAAGTTTACTAAACTCTTAAGGGCTATCAATATGTCAACACATCTGAGTGGCCGTTCCTGTATTAGTGTGTACTTGTGAACTGAGTTTGTCATTTTTATGTGTGGAGCCATTTCTCCTGATTTTCCTTTTAAGTTTTGTCATTATTTAGACATGTATATTTATATAATATTGGATGGCTTTGAGGTGGATGCAAGAATATATTGCACAAGCTATGACAATATTGCACGAGTCGAAGACGAGTGCAATATTGTCATAGCGAGTGCAATATATTCTTGTATCCACCGAAAACAAGCCATCCAATATTATTATTATTTATATCAGGCTGACTTGATCCACAAGAAGCACAATTCAAGACACTGTCTTCTTTACATCTTTTTCGTTTACATCAAACGTTTTGAAGCTGACACTGTAATTGTTAATGATAGTGCGCGTATACCTGGCCTTCTGCGCACTGCATGCGCGCGGCGTGTTCCATGTTCGACAGTGTACGCGCGCGCTACGCTCTGTTGAGTGGTTAACAACTGTGACTTTCTATGCTCTTGATCAAGCGGGAACCAGCGAAAATGCCCGGATGACTGCAATAATAACGTTATTGCAGTCCACCGGGTACTTTATTATTGCAGTCATCTGGGTACTTTTTATGAAAGCATACAATACGCTGATTTATTTTTACCGCCGGAAGCCTGATATAAATAATAATCAAAAATATCACCAGAATTAACATAACTCTTGAAGCATTCAATGAATAGAAATCTATACATAAATATACAGATACATGAGGTAATGCAATGTATATGAAGTGAATGGTTATTTTTTTATGGACGGGACACCTGGCCGTTCTACTGCAATGAAATTACAGTATCACAGACACAGTACAACAAATGTATGTATCTGATGGATATTGATGCCTGTAGGTCAAGAGGGCTCCCTACGTGATGTGTATTTATTCAGCGAGCGTTCGCCATGCGTAACATGGTTCTTGACTTCCTGCTTGGGACTAAGTTTGTTTATATTGAGTCTACCAATGGTAGCAAATTTGCAGCAAACATTATACAGCTGGTGTTTGCTTAGCACATTTATGTAAACTACTAGCCAAGTGGCATTAGCTGCGATTAGCAGCTCCCTGACACCGGATCACAATCCAACAGGAAGGAGGTTTTCCTTTCACGGGTGCAAAATAAAGGTCAGAAAAACAAGTTCCAGGGAAAACACCTAATTCCTACATGTATTACTCTTTATTCATTTCAGTATCCTATTGAGGCACAATAATGTCAGTAGCTTCCTTGTTCCAGTGAGTTGGATTATCAGTGTATTTCCTGATGTGTTGACCCGGACAATGTAACAATGGAGACACGGAAAGAATGTTGCAACCTGACGCTACTTCAGCAGTTGTGTACAAAGTCTATGGAGAGTCAAACAAAAATTTTACAATTTTTTTTACAAAATTGGAAATGTTTTTCAATCCCAGATTCATGTCTCATCATCATTTTTACAATGAATGGCCTTCATTGAGATGATATGAAGAAAAAAAGCAGCGTCATGTTGCAACATTCTTTACGACTTTTCTCCATGATGTCAGTAAGGCCAAAAAAAAAAGTCTACAGTCTCTGGTATGCGCGCGCGTCGCCGTAGCCATGCGCGTCGGCAAAATGAAAAAGTGTTTTTTTCAATAAAAGATGATGTCTCAAAACCGCCAAACTCACTGGTTTGACTGGAATTCTGCTGCAGCACAATTTTAACGTGTTTTTAGATGGGGTTATGATCGAGAATAAGCTTTATGTGGCCTCTCTGGACTCCCACATATTTGCACTAAGTTTAGTCGGGCACCATTTGCAGTCATCAGCCGACATTTGAAGCCCAAAAAAAAAAAAAAACAGTTAAAAAAAAAAAAAAAAAGCCGCGTCGCCGCACCACTTTTGGGGCAAGCTCCATACCAGAAACCGGAGACTTTTTTTTTTGGCCTAATGCAGTAACGCAGTTTACTTGGATGTTTGATGCACAGTGCATATTTCCTGCATGGAGGTCTACACAATGTGTATATCGTATGACCACATCTCGTCCAAACAGGAAGTAAATGTAGGAGAAACGGAATTATAGACGTCGATCTCTGGTTATGGAATTGTCTTAACATGAACATGAATAAGACTGCTGCACACTGCTCTCTGACTGGATTGACCTAACCCCCTAGGCCCTTTTGGCTAGGATAGGAACCATCCTCAATCCTGCAAAATCCTCCCATTGCCACCATGTAAACATTGGATTCAGCCTCAATCCTTCAAAATCGTCCGTTAGTTCTTGATTCTATTCAGTGGATGTCTCAACAGTCCTTCAACATTCTCCAACAATCACTGTAATCGGGTTGAGGCAGTGTCGATGACGTTCAGAAGCAGTGTTGATGATAAAGAGCATAATGCAGGGCTGAATTATGCAAGACTGAACATAATTTAACAATTGCTGGGTGGTGGAACAGCCTACGAACTTGAAACAATGCATCCTCCAAAATCAACCAACACTGTTGTTTGTCATTCAGCCACAATCCTCCAAAATAAACTTTGAGAGCGTATACAAGCTTAAACCCTAACCCCTAGGCCCAATTTGCTATATCCTCCATCCTCCAAAGTCTTCCCAAATTTTGCAGTTTGTCTTTAATATATTCAAAATTCAAATGAAGGATACCCAGCGCCTCAATCCAAAAGTTATCACTATCAGGCAGTCCTGACTCTCAAAATGCATTTATCCTCAAAGGCTCAATCCTCCAAAATTCTCCTCCTCTTCAAACACAATTCATTCTCAATCCTCCAAAATCCTAACGTGCTTCAACACCATTCATCTTCAATCCTCCAAAATCCTTGTGTTTCTCAAACACCACTCATCCTCAATCATGTCAATCCTCCAAAACCGCCAGGGAGATTTTGGAGGATTTTGAGGTGGGTCAGGGTTTTAATGAATAAAATTTGACCAGGCATTGGCAATGGCAATTACATTGACCATAGACAATGCATTAAGAGCAAGGAACATTGTTTGACATGTTTGATGAATGTCTTAACATAGTTCAGTAAACAAGGCAAACATATGTTGAATTATATAAATTTATAAACCTAATTTATTAAACTTTAACAACACAATTGACAACGTACTTTTTTCACTACAAGTAAGTGGGCCTACAAGTTGCACTAAAAATCTAAATATAGTCGTGACAGTACAAGTACAATAGTTTTACGGGTTTTTCTAATGGGACTGACCACTTACTTTTTGAACATCTTTTCGTATTGTTTGATTTCTTTTCGGCTGAACTCCTTGAACTCCGTGTAAGGGTTGAAAACCAGAGTCCTTTTGTCCGTGTTAGGTTCTTCATTGCCTTCATTCAATGCCTCCCTTCTCGCAAGCTTGCTCGCCAATTCATCGTCAGCCATGGTGAATTTTTCTGCTGAAATTTAAGTTGCAAAACTTGCGGGGAACGTACGGTACCTTCGTCCACGAGAACGCGGAAAAGGAAATGATTATTTTTGCTCCTTACATTTTAACTGGTCTCTGTACACAACGGTTGTGTTATTGTTGTTCGCGAAGAGTACCAGTGACTCAAAGGTGAAATGTTAAACTTTGGAAAGCACGACTTTTTGCAGGGGTGTATTATTATTATTTTGTCACGTTAGGAAGTTAGGGTTTGCTCGGTGTCGTTGAAAACTGTGAAATTATTATCAAAAGGCACGATATTCGCTATGTGGACCCCTAAAAATAAAAATAAAAAATAGAATTTGGGTGAGGTGTGCTCAGAAATGCTAAGATCCTCGTGCCAAAGTTGAAACAAAATTTGATTCTTCTGAGCTCGGCACTAATTTGCGAGTTTCGAAATCAACCCCCCAAAAGTTTAAAATCTTTTTATTGGTTGTTTTGGCAACCGGCCGAAATTCGCTCACGGTAGTGGGGGGGGGGGGGGGGGGGGGTGTTACGAGCGAGGACCGCAGTTAAACGATGTGCGCAAATGCTACATTACTAACACATTGTCGTAAAAGTTGGTATCTGAATATTTCTATGCAAAAACCCCTACCCTGGGCCGGTGGTTTTTGAAGAAAATATCAGACGGTTATTTATTTCTCCCCATTCAATGGACCGATCCAGTAAGCCCCACCCACTGCGCACGTGGGCAAATTAACATGTGCTCCTCTCCAATGCCACACTGCATTTTCCTGCCGCGCGCATCATACGCGCGTGCACGCGCACGCACGCATGTCGGGCTTTTGTGCACGCATGTCGGACATAAATCACGGCTGTGATTGGTCAGAATACCATGGGGCGGTGCTTACTGGATCGGTCCATTAACTTCGGCAGCGACCGCAAGCCTCATTTGAAAGAAAAAGTTAAGACCGACGTCGTGCACAATCCGAATGGAAATCAATGTGCATTTTTCGCGAGTAAAACACTACATTGCTACGATCATATTATTTTTATCGTTGGACTGATTCTCGTGATATTCAATACACCTCTGTTACACATCCTGGAAATTAATTGCACGAAATTTCAGTTTAATACATCTTGTTTTATTTGAGTTATTGATCGGAAACTGACATGAGTTGTTATTTTTGTTCAATAGTGCAGCATCCGCAGTGACCAACATGCTTTTATAGAGGGCGCGCCACAAAAATAGTGGTCTCGATAATTATGTATCCACCACCAAACTCGTGTGGGGGGCAACAACTCCAGAAATACAAGATGTTTTACATTGAATGTTCGTCTAATGATTTGTCATTATGTTTAACATTACGAGATTTAATTTCATAAGAAACCGTCAAACAATGAAGCAATATTGACCGTAACAATACAGTGTTTTAAGCGCGACAAATGCAATCTGAATGAAAATCAAGGTGTATTTTTCGCGTGTAAATCACTACATTGTTACGATCATATTATTTTTATCGTTGGACTGTTTCTCATGATATTCAATACAACTCTGTTACACATCCTGGAAATTAATTGCTCGAAATTTCAGTTTAATACATCTTGTATTTCTTGAGTTATTGATCGGAAACTGAGTTGTTAGTTTTGTTCAATAGTGCAGCATCCGCACCAATATTATTTCAATAGAGGGCGCGCCACATAAATAGTGGTCTCGATAATTATCCACCACCAAACTCGTTTGGGGGGCAACAACTCCAGAAATACAAGATGTATTAAATTGAATTTTCGAGTAGTGATTTGTCATTATGTTTAAACATTACGAGATTTAATTTCATAAGAAACCGTCAAACAATGAAGCTATATTGACCGTAACAATACAGTGTTTTAAGCGCGACAAATGCAATCCGAATGAAAGTCAATGTGGATTTTTCGCGTGTAAAACATTACATTGTTACGATCATATTATTTTTGTTGTTGCACTGGTTCTCATGATATTCAATACACCTCTGGCATACATTGTGGAAAATCAGTGCACGAAATTTCAGTTTAAAACATCTTGTATTTCTTGAGTTATTCATCGGAAAACGAGTCGTTAATTTTGTTCAATAGTGCAGCATCGGCTGGTCTCGCACTTTAATATTCTTTCAGCAGAGGGCGCGCCACATAAATAGTGGTCTCGCCGATAATTATCTACCACCAAACTCGTTTTGGGGGCAACAACTCCAGAAATACAATATGTATTGAATTGAATTTTCGAGTAGTGATTTGTCATTATGTTTAACATTAGGAGATTTAATTTCATAAGAAACCGTCAAACAATGAAGCTATGTTGACCGTAACAATACAGTGTTTTAAGCGCGACAAATGCAATCCGAATGAAAGTCAATGTGGATTTTTCGCGTGTAAAACATTACATTGTTACGATCATATTATTTTTGTTGTTGCACTGGTTCTCATGATATTCAATACACCTCTGACATACATTGTGGAAAATCAGTGCACGAAATTTCAGTTTAATATATCTTGTATTTCTTGAGTTATTCATCGGAAAACGAGTCGTTAATTTTGTTCAATAGTGCAGCATCGGCTGGTCTCGCACTTTAATATTCTTTCAGCAGAGGGCGCGCCACCTAAATAGTGGTCTCGATAATTATCTACCACCAAACTCGTTTAAGGGGAAACAACTCCAGAAAAACAATATGTATTAAATTGAATTTTCGAGTAGTGATTTGTCATTATGTTTAACATTAGGCGATTTAATTTCATAAGAAACCGTTAAACAATGAAGCTATATTGACCGTAACAATACAGTGTTTTAAGCGCGACAAATGCAATCCGAATGAAAGTCACTGTGGATTTTTCGCGTGTAAAACATTACATTGTTACGATCATATTATTTTTGTTGTTGCACTGGTTCTCATGATATTCAATACACCTCTGGCATACATTGTGGAAAATAAGTGCACGAAATTTCAGTTTAATACATCTTGTATTTTTTGAGTTATTCATCGGAAAACGAGTCGTTAATTTTGTTCAATAGTGTAGCATCGGCTGGTCTCGCACTTTAATATTCTTTCAGCAGAGGGCGCGCCACATAAATAGTGGTCTCGATAATTATCTACCACCAAACTCGTTTGGGGGGCAACAACTCCAAAAATACAAGATGTATTAAATTGAATTTTCGAGAAATGATTTTGCTCATTATGTTTAACATTAGGCGATTTAATTTCATAAGAAACCGTCAAACAATGAAGCTATATTGACCGTAACAATACAGTGTTTTAAGCGCAACAAATGCAATCCCAATGAAAGTCACTGTGGATTTTTCGCGTGTAAAACATTACATTGTTACGATCATATGATTTTTGTTGTTGCACTGGTTCTCATGATATTCAATACACCTCTGGCATACATTGTGGAAAATAAGTGCACGAAATTTCAGTTTAATACATCTTGTATTTTTTGAGTTATTCATCGGAAAACGAGTCGTTAATTTTGTTCAATAGTGTAGCATCGGCCGGTCTCGCACTTTAATATTCTTTCAGCAGAGGGCGCGCCACATAAATAGTGGTCTCGATAATTATCTACCACCAAACTCGTTTGGGGGGCAACAACTCCAAAAATACAAGATGTATTAAATTGAATTTTCGAGAAATGATTTTGCTCATTATGTTTAACATTAGGCGATTTAATTTCATAAGAAACCGTCAAACAATGAAGCTATATTGACCGTAACAATACAGTGTTTTAAGCGCAACAAATGCAATCCCAATGAAAGTCACTGTGGATTTTTCGCGTGTAAAACATTACATTGTTACGATCATATTATTTTTGTTGTTGCACTGGTTCTCATGATATTCAATACACCTCTGGCATACATTGTGGAAAATAAGTGCACGAAATTTCAGTTTAATACATCTTGTATTTTTTGAGTTATTCATCGGAAAACGAGTCGTTAATTTTGTTCAATAGTGTAGCATCGGCTGGTCTCGCACTTTAATATTCTTTCAGCAGAGGGCGCGCCACATAAATAGTGGTCTCGATAATTATCTACCACCAAACTCGTTTGGGGGGCAACAACTCCAAAAATACAAGATGTATTAAATTGAATTTTCGAGAAATGATTTTGCTCATTATGTTTAACATTAGGCGATTTAATTTCATAAGAAACCGTCAAACAATGAAGCTATATTGACCGTAACAATACAGTGTTTTAAGCGCAACAAATGCAATCCCAATGAAAGTCACTGTGGATTTTTCGCGTGTAAAACATTACATTGTTACGATCATATGATTTTTGTTGTTGCACTGGTTCTCATGATATTCAATACACCTCTGACATACATTGTGGAAAATCAGTGCACGCAATTTCAGTTTAATACATCTTGTATTTCTTGAGTGGCCTCATCGGAAAACGAGTCGTTAATTTTGTTCAATAGTGCAGCATCAGCTGGTCTCGCACTTTAATATTCTTTCAGCAGAGGGCGCGCCACATAAATAGTGGTCTCGCCGATAATTATCTACCACCAAACTCGTTTTGGGGGCAACAACTCCAGAAATACAAGATGTATTAAATTGAATTTTCGTCTAGTGATTTGTAATAATGTTTAACATTAGGAAATTTAATTTCATAAGAAACCGTCAAACAATGAAGCAACATTGACCGTAACAATACAGTGTTTTAAAGGGAATATACAACATTTGCAAACATCAAAAAATAAAACTACCAAGTTTTACGAAATACCTTACTAGGATGTTGGTAAATGACAGTCTCAAGCATCTTGTAAAAGTATGGCACCTGGTGTGAAGTCATTTTCAAGAAAATGGTATTTTTGTAAACATTTCCAACGGTGGTCGGCCGACCAGCGTTGGAAAAACCTAACTATTTTTCAACTACTGCTCCAAATTTACCATTTTTTCAATCCAAATTTTGTTTGCTAATGGTTACATGTTCGTGAACGGGTGCAGGCCAACTAGACTGGTTCCCTTGCCTTACAATTTTCCATCATCTATAAAT